CCCCGCCCCCTCTGGGCAGCCCTGGCCCCGCCCCCTCCTGGCAGCCCTGGCCCAGGCCCCTCCAAGCAGCCCTGACACTGCCCCCCTCCCTCTTCCAGGATGTCATCGCCTCCATCCTGCTGAGTGGGCGGATCGGGCCCAACATCCAGCTGGCTGACTGCTACGGGCTGAGGCTGAAGCACATGAAGTCGGACGAGATCCACTGGCTGCACCCGCAGATGACGGTGGGGGAGGTGCAGGACAAGTACGAGTGTCTCCACGTGGAAGCCGAGTGGAGGTAGGTGGGGGGCTGGGGGCTCCGATGGGGGAATCGGTGCGGAGCCCAGAGCCTGTCCTTGGAGCACTTCCCAGCCCCTGATCTAGAAAAGCTGAGTGGCCCCGTAGGGCCACTGCATTGTCCACGCATGTCGATTTCTCAGACTTACTGTGGGCTTGGCACACCCCTGGACGGCTGTGCAGGAGCCCCCCCAAGTGGGACCTTGGAGAAGGAGGCACAGAAGTACTAGAGGATTGGGGAGCCAGACCCAGGCTGGCCTGGGCCCCTGTGGGGATCGCGCCCCCTGGGAGTAGGGGTGGCGAGCCAGGGCCAGGGCTGACCCCTGCCTGTTCGACGCCCCCTGCCCCCATGGGCCTCAACGGGTGGCCAGGAGCTTGGGCGCAGCCCCTTGCACAACCAGCTCCCCAAGACCAACCAGAATGTGTGGGTTTCCTGCCCCAGGTATGACCTTCAGATCCGCTACTTGCCAGAGGACTTCATGGAGAGCCTAAAGGAAGACCGGACCACACTGCTCTATTTTTACCAGCAGGTACAGGGCTCGCTCTGCCCAGCCCACAGCTCCCCATGGAGCTGGACAGACAAATCCCGGCTTGGGAGGTCCCAGTGACCAAAAGTCCCCTACATACTCCCCTGGCCCCTGGTCCGCTGTCTGACCCCGATGCACAGCTAGTGAGGTGCCTGCTCACCCTGCTGGAGCGCCCCTGGCTTCTCTTGGCCGTCCCTCGTGGCTGCTAACGGCCCCGGCTGGTGAGGTGGCCACGATCTGGGGGCACGTGACTCAGCACTGGTCACGCCTGGTCTCCAGCCCGGCTCTGCCATTACTGTCCCAGCACCCGGGCCTGGGCGGGCTGCAGGACGCTGTTTCGGCTCCTCTCGATGGGGAGAGTAAGAGTGATGCCCACTTTATGGGGCAGCGTGAAGACCAGCTGCTGTCCTTAGCCGCATGCTGGCAGGCCAGCCTGTGAGGAAGAAAACCTGGCTCGTAGCGCTCCCCAGCCCCGTGGTGTAAATATTCCTGCCGTGGCCTATTTCACACTCCCAATAGGACATCAAATTGGCACAATTTCAGAAAAGTTCCTCAGTGGCTTTTGTGAGCTGTGCTGAGCGGCTCCGGGGGGTGGGAGGGCGGAGCCCAGAGCAGCGCCCACTGCCGTCACAGCTCCCCGCTCTGTGCCCGCCGGGCTTGCTGCACACCAGGTCAGGCTCCGCTTGGGCAGTGTATAGCATCTGTCGTGACCCACCAAAGGCTTTGGGCAAATCACCGACCCTGGTTTTTGGTTCTTCAAAAGGAGGCGGGGAGGGGGAATCGGTGTGGCCCCCAGTGAAGCAGGGAGCCACCGGGTGCCTGGAGGCGGCGTCCCCGTCCAGGGCTCCAGCAGGGGCAGCCCAGGCTGGCCTGCCCCTTCCGCTCCTGGTCTCCCGCTGCGTTTGTGCGGGGCAGGGCACGTGTGAGTCTGTGTCGGAGGCACTATCTCTGGGGCCTCTGCTCAGGGAAACGGGGCGCGGCGCGAGGGTGACCCCTGGCCTGTCTCCCCACCAGCTCCGGAGTGACTACATGCAACGCTACGCCAGCAAGGTCAGCGAGGGCATGGCGCTGCAGCTGGGCTGCCTTGAGCTCAGGTAGGCTCGGCCGCGCCGCCCGCCTGTGGACCGTCCGCCCGTGGCTTCCTCCAGGGTGGGAGGCAGGAGTGGGGCGGTGAAGGGACACGGGCGGTCAACAGAGGCAAGGCCGTCCAAATGCCAGCTGCGTCCCCGGCGGGGGTCGCCCGCTTCTTCTCTCTGCCACTAGCAGGAGTCTTAAGCGCTTCTCTGAGAACCAGGCGGGCCTCTGGGGGGTCAGGAAGGTGGGGTTTCCATCGTGTGGGCGACGCCCCACTCGCGGTAGGCGCTGGTGAGCGCTACGGAATCAGTGAGCCCACAAACGTACAGGGTTGGGAGGGGACAGGTGTCTGCCATTGATGGTGACTCGGGCCCATGGATGGACAGGACACTGAGGGCCTCTGGGGGTAGGAGTTGCCCACGGAGGAGGAGAAGGTCCCTGCTGGTAGACAGCATGGTGGTGTGGGGTGTACACAGGCTTGGGGACCCGTGGATGGCCAGGACCGGGTGGAGAATGATGGGAGATGAGTGGGGAGGACAGTCGGAGCGGACGTGGGGATTAGCGGGAAGCTGAGACATAAGCCTGGCTCTGGCTGCCAGGGCCCACTGCCATGTGGAGCACAGGAGGCTGTGGTGCAGCTTGTGTTCTAGCACGTTCTTGACCCAGGCAGCACCGTCCAGGCCCGCCCTCTAGCACCATCCGTCCACGCATCCCGCCCGCCCACACCTCGGGGGACGGACGCAGCTTCCAAAGCCTGGTCGCAAGTCTCGCCGCCAGGAGCTTCTTAAACTGGAGATTCCCTCCCCCACCTAACCTTCCCCTGCAAATGGGGCTGTAGATCTGGGGGGGCCGTGAGGATACGCATTTCCAAGCAGGCTCGGACGCAGTTCGCCCGTGTGGCTGATAAGGCAGGTCTGGACCGCTGTGGGGGACCTGGGACTAGGGCCCCTCTGGTTGCCTGGGAAGGCACTTCCCGCGACTCGCAGCCCGACTGCGGCCTCACCGCCACAGAGGGAAGCTCGTCCTGCTTCTGCAGGGTTGGGCCCTTGCAGAATTCTGGGTCCTCCTGGGTATCAGAGCGAGGGTGCCCCAGGAAGGGGGGGGGGGGGGAGGGCCCCGCCTTGACTCCAGCCTCTGACGCTACTGGTTTTATGGCAGAAAGTGAGGTCAGAGGCACCTGGGGCCCCTGCTCTCCACGAGGCCACCAGGTCTCAGCAAGTGCGGGAACTCGGGGCCCCGGAGCAGCCTGCACCCTCGCTGCAGCTGGACAGACCCCCTCGCTGCAGTGGGTCCTGGGAGCTCCGTGCAGGGTTACTTCCGCGCAGTGGGGTGTCACTTCACGAGGGGGACGCTTTCAGAGAAATGCATCATGAGGGCTCCCCCCTGCGCAGACGTCACAGCGAGATACGAGGCTGCTGCAGCCAAACGCAACTTTACTGTGGCATCACTAGGCAGTGAGGTTTGGGGTCCCCCTCATGGGCCGTGGCCCCCGGCCACACCTGTGCCTGTGTGCCGTGAGCTGCGTCGGGCGCACGGTCTCCTCTTCGCTCTGAAACGAAACAGCCAGAAGCACGCGCCCGGACCTGCCCAGGCCGCGGGCCCAGAACCCCGCCGCCCGTGACACTCCCATCACCCTGGTCACCTGCCCCTGCAGCGTCACCTAGCGGGAAGACCGAGGTGCCCTTTCGTTCTGTGCCATGCTCTCACGCCCTCCGGTCTCTCCGAGTCTGTGCCGACTCTGGCGGCCGGGAGGGCCGCCCGGGGAGAAGACAGTGGTGTCCATCAACTCGGATCATTCCGGAATCTCTGCGTGTTGTGTGAGCGGAATCTCCTCTGCACGCTCCCGAGTCTGGGGAGCAGGCAGATGGACACTCCTGCTCTGCCCGGCTGCCCTTCGGGGGACAGGTTATTGGACAGTAGGAAGAGGCTGTGGAAAACCCCTATTTCGTAGGCTTCCTAGAAGATTGTGAGGTCTGTAGTTTTCAGCGTCGCCGCCAACACCCTCCGCCGTGATGGGCAGCCCTAGGCCACGTACGGCCAGTGCACCCGAGGCAGACCGGGCAGCTCTGGAAAGCAGGCCGCGAGCAGAGTTTCCCAGGGCTGGGATTATTTTTTCCCGAAACGGTTCCAAAGTTCCGTCTGTGGCTCGACCATGGGCTAAGGTCGCTTGTCCTGTTGATAATCGTTGGTGTGTCACCTCCTGCAGATACAGGGTGCTCAGGAAAAATACACAGATTCCCCCCTGGCTTGCAAAAGAGGCACAGTGCGCGCACAGAGCCTGAGAGAAGCACGGGGAACCCTCGGAGCACGTAACGCAGACCAAGGAACGGTCGGGACCCCCGAAGCCCTGACCGTGCGGCCGTGCTCAGACAGTCCCCGCATCTGTGAAATGGGCACCCTCGGGGGCGGGGGTGGGGGCGAGGAGCTCGGGAGTTAAGGCGCTCAAAGTCCTTAGAACAACGATACGGGCAGGGGATCCAGTTTGCACTGTTCCTCTTTATTCCTTATTTCTATTTATTGATTTATTTATTTTTTTTTTAATATTTTTTTTTTGTGCATACAGAACTGAGGTACAGGCCAGAGGCTCAGGGGCAGTGAGAGGCTTCACCAGAGACAGAGGGGGAGCAGAACAGGCAGATCCACGAAGTCCACTGCTGAGGGGAGCAGCAGGCGGTCAGGAGAGGTCTGCGGCGCCCTGTGGTCACCTCCGGGGCAGGCGGGGATCGAACTCATGCGGAAGCAGCTTTAGCTTCTCAGTGCTGTGCTGTAACCCGCTGCGCCAGCAGGGAGGGCCATCTATTTATTTATTTTTAATTGACCTTTCGGAAGCCATTTCAGGTTTGTAGGAAATGGAGAGGAAGGAGCAGAGGCCCCAGCCCTGCCCTCCAAGGCAGCACAGCCGGCCGCACCTGCCCGGCGGCGGCTCACGGTTGCATCGGGGTCCCGCGTGGTTTGTGGGTTTCACAAATGTCTCGTGACTTTATCCGCCGTCGTAGCCTCCTGCAGGATAGTTCAGTGGCCCTGAAAACCCTCGGAGCTCCCCGCCTTCAGCCTTCCCCGCCGCAAGCCCCGAGCACCTCTGATGTTTTACTGGCTTCATGGTTTTGCCCTTTGCAAACGTCCCGTGACTGGAGTCGCCCTAGTAGCTGCCTGCAGGTGCACTGAGGTGCCTTAGGAAGCCAGGTGTATTCCGTACCTGTGTGTGCCCCCAAGGCCAAGGCGTGAAATCAGCCCCCACGTGCGGGAGGTTAGCACCTGCCGGGGGAGGAGCCAGACTTGCCCCGGCCGACACGCAGGTGTGCACCCCCGCAAAGCCCGCCTGCTCTCCCGCACTCGGGGGGTGTGACCGCGTCAGCGCGGCTGTGGCTGGCCGCGAGTGCGGCTACAGAGCGAGCCGGAGGCATTTCACCTCAGCTCATTTGTAAGTGTTGGCCGCGAGTTAACTTTTCTGTGGTTTATGAGAAGACAGACACGACCGGCTGGGCCTGCAGAGCTCTGCTTTCTGCTGCCCCTTCCTGGGTATCAGCAGCAGGTCTGTCTGTGCCCGCCCGGGGCCCTGCTGTCACCTGGCCTCCGCATGCCCGGTGGCCGGTTGGGCTGGCAGAGGCAGCTGGGCGCTGGAGAGCGCCTCCTGCAGGTGCCAGGCTGGGGGCGGGATGCCAGGACTGGGGCGCAGGGGGTTCAGGGCAAGGCCAGGGAGCTGGTCTCTGGGGAGAGCGTTGTCATCCCCCCTCCAGGCGTCCAGGTGTGCGGCTGTGCCAGGTGTCAGAGACGCGCCGGAGCCACTGCGGGAGTGGCGGCCCTGTGCCCACAGCACCGCCACTGGGGCTCCTTCCGGGCCAGCGGGAGGGGGGGCGCCCTCAGGACGCCGGGGTGGTACTGGGCGTCCTTTCTTACTGAGCCCTTTCTCCAGCCCTCAGCTCCTGCCTCGTCCTAAACTGAGTAGGCTCTTGCATGTAGTTTGACTTCTGGCGGTTTCTTTCCACTGTTTGCCTCTCCGCCTAGCACAGTCACTTTGTTACTGAGGTTTATCCGGCTATCACAGGCCCCAGAATTCTTCCATCCATGCCCAGCCTTGAAGCGCTCCATCATTCATTCATTCATTCATTCACTCGCTCATTCATTCCGCCGCCGTCGGGAGACCCCTGCCACCCTAGCCCCAGGGTGACGCGTCCGCTCTGTGACAGACCCTTCTGGTTACCTTCTGCAGCCTGCAGACTCTATTCTGGAAGCTTTAGGAAATCGGCTGACAGTGTTACCTGCGTGCCGCGTACATCCATAGAGAACCACTGAGCTTAGCCGTCTTCCTGGGAGCCAGGGCCCAGGGCTGTCCCTCCCCGAGCCCTCCCTCCCGGTGCCCACCCCCGCCCTGGGCTGCCTGGGCCTCCCTAGTGCCACGTCGCTCTGCCAGGCACCAGGGTCTCGCCCACCAGTGGTGAGATCCTGCAGATCCCCCCAGTCAGCGGGGTGCTGCCTTTCACGGGGCTCAAGAGAGAGAACAGAGTGTCATTGCATTATGACATGATGAGAAAAACAATGCCAGCTGGCACTGAGCAAATGGATGTTCATTACTGGAGAAGCTGGATCGATTCCAGGTTCAGTATGGTGCTTCGCTGGACGTTGCAGTTTCCAAAGAACCATCATGACGTTCAGTCGGGACTCACTGCTCCACTGTTGGTCGACCGAGGAGGGTCCAAAGCCCGCCTCTGGTGGACTAGACTTCAGCTTGTGTCCAGCAAGTCAGTCTGGCCAGCTCCTGGGAGCCCACTTTCTAGGCCTTGCACCCAGCGGGAGTGGCGGGCCCCCCCCGCCTGTCACGAGCTCCAGCGGGCTGGCCTCGAGGTTCGCTGTGAGGGTGGACGGTGTGCAGGCAAAGGAAAGTTTTCTGGTTCAGAAAACTCGGAGCTGCCGGGCTGAGCACGTGGCAGTCGCGTGGCCGCTGCTCGTGGGCGCCTTCGTGGCGCGAGCTCCCGTGGAGGCCGATCGGCTTCCCCGCCCCCGCAGACTGGCCCCCGCTCCTGCGGCCTGGGCTCTGCAGGGCAGACCTGCCTCAGCCAGCTAGAATATTCCTTCTCGGGCAGCCTTTGGCCCTCGGTGGGACCGCTGATGGGAGCGGGGGTAGGCCAGCACAGACCCCGACGCCCACGTGTCTCTTCTTGGCTCTGGCCTCCAGGCTTCTCCCGCTCCTCACCCGGCGCCTTTGGGGTGATGAGTGCCTCAGGGGCTGGCCTGGCACGGCGGGTCGTTGGCAGCGTCCTGGCCGCTGCCCGCTGGACGGTGCTGGGCCCACCCCTCCCGCACAGGCGTGGCTGCCAGGCAGGTTCTCCAGGCGGGGCACAGCTGTCTCTGGCTGAGAGCCAGGGGTAGGCCCGTGGAGCCGCGCTGGGTCGGCTGTCGGCCAGCGGCTGACCTTTGTCCCGTGGTGCTTGCAGACAATGAGGCGACAGGAGGAAAACAGACATGAAACTGCCTCCGTATTTTTCGGTAAAATGTATCTTTGGGGCCCTCCCTGGTGGCGCAGCGGGTTAAAGCACAGCACTGAGAACCTAAAGCCGCTTCCGCATGAGTTCGATTCCCGCCTGCCCCGGAGGTGACCCCAGGGCGCAGCAGACCTCTCCTGACCCGCCCGCTGCTCCCCTCAGCAGTGGACTTCGTCGTTCTGCCTGTTCTGCTCCCCACTCTGTCTCTGGTGAAGCCTCTCACTGCCCCTGAGCCTCTGGCCTGTACCCCAGTTCTGTATGCACAATAAATAAATCTTTAAAAAAAATGTATCTTTGAATATGAGGCTTCATAAACTTTTAAGAATGAAGCCCACCTTTTACGGTAAATGTTTCATGCGAGGCATTGGGGGCTGGAGGAGGCCGGTCCACTCTGGTTGCCAGGACAACCAAGCCCCAGGCCACCGGCTTGCCTGCTCTTCCTCTCCTTTGCTGGTTGCCTGCTTTCTCTCTGACTCTGTTTTATTCAAATACATTTTAAAACTTTGTATCCTTGCATCATCTGTTGGAAAGAGGTAGGATGGAAATGGAAACAGCCTGATCAGCAATACTGACTGGGTCACCATTACCACTCTTCACGCCCACTTTAATGTAGTCATTCATTCCTGTTTCTGTAAGAGAGGGTTCACCCAACCCAAGACACTGTTTACCTTTCGCTTTCCCTCCACTGCTCTGCTGGCATTTGAAGCAACTCATGCCAGAGAGAGATTTTCCTCCTGGTTTAGCACGTCTCTGCTGCATCCAGAGTCAGTGTTTTGAACTAAAGCATGAGGTGAGGGCCCAGACTTGCTCTTTTTGAAGCACAGTGAATTAGCTAAGTTCACTGCTTTTAAGCCACAAGTTATCTGCTTCGCGCTGCTTATGGTATCGGGAGCACAGCGTTGCTACTATGACAGTTGACACTGGACAAGTTCCCAGACATGTATCCGGACACCGAGTTAAAGAAACACTGGGCTACTCTAATTTAAGCCCAAGAGTGAGACAATGTCTCCAGCAGTTGAAGAAATTCCCCACTGGGGAGGCAGGAGGCCAGGGGGGGCCCCACGCTCAGACAGCTACGGCTGTGAATACAGAATGCATAAAACTCCACCCAAACACACAATCGGAGGGAAGCCAGGCTTGGAGGTACACACTCAGGAGAAATGACTGGGTGTCCCCAGGGGGAGCTTATGAGTTATTTTTCTTTCCCTTTCTGGTCCATAAACTCTGAAGTATCCAGTCGACTACATCACTTACTATTTCAGTGGCCACGCGGCCACTCAGTGGCTATTTCAGCGGTGGTTGGGGGGGGCTGAAACCACGACCCAGAACCTGGGCGGGAGGTCTGGGCTGAGTGTCGGCCTGTGGGACATTTGTTTTGGAGAAGGTTTGTTTCCAGAACACAGCTAGCACGGGGCCTCCTCTGCCCAGCACCCAGGCAGCCCAGAGCTGAGCACCCAGGGCCCTAGTTCTAAATACCCAACTCTAAATGCCGAATTTCTTGCCGTCCTCACTTCCCCTTCCTGGTGGCTCCCACATCTGGGGGTCAAGGGAAGGGTTCCAGGCAACGTGGGTATCGGGGGGCTGGCTCTGGTCAGCTGGTCCTGCCGCAGCAGCCTCTCCATGACCTCTCTCTCCAGACGCTTCTTCAAGGACATGCCCCACAACGCACTCGACAAGAAGTC